GCCAATTCCGTACATGGTCGCCGGCTTGGCTCCTTCGTTGCGATACGGCGTCTGAGTTTGAGCTGTACACGTCGTATGACAGGAACCAGAGCAATCGCTCGAAGTTGGACGAGACGAGGATGTCCATGGCTGGACTCAGCGTCTCTTTGACTCCGCTCTCGTGCGCCTTGGCGCCATCCTCGGGGATACCACCCTCAGCCTGCTTTCCATGTACAGGGTTCTTCTCGTACTTTCCAGTCTCCCAGAAGCGGTGTAGAATATCGTTCGCGTTTGTGGCGATGACCAGCTTCTCGGCTGGCAGGCCCATGCGCTTCGCGAAGAAGCCGGCGAGGATGTCGCCAAAGTTGCCTGTGGGCACGACGAAGCGGACGGTGGAGGCGGGGAGGAAGGACTCCTGCTTGATGAGGTCGAAGTACGAATAGAAGAAATAGGTGATCTGCGCGAGGATACGGGCCCAGTTGATCGAGTTGACGGCGGCGAGGCGGTGCGTCTTGTTGATCTCGGGGTCGGCGAAGAGGGCTTTGACGAAGTCCTGGGCATGTCAGTTGTGTCTGGGGCTATGATGGACGATGCGCCTACCTGGCAATCGTCGAATGTGCCGTCAACTGCCAAGTTGTGCACGTTGGCGTCCATGACGGTCGTCATCTGCGCCTCCTGGATCGGGCTGACCTTGCCATGCGGGTGCATGATGAAGACGGACACATCCTTCTTTCCGCGCAGGCCGTAGATGGCGGCTGAGCCGGTATCACCACTTGTTGCGCCAATGACGGTCAAATGCTCCCTGTCGCGTCCGGTCTTGCCCTGATTCTTGCGCACGAGGAAGTACTCGAAGAGGTTGCCGAGGAATTGCAGCGCGACATCCTTGAAGGCGAAGGTAGGGCCGTGGAACAATTCCAGCAGATGTATGTTCTTCTCCTTGTCGAGTGTGACGGTGGGTACGACGTCCTGTGCGCGGAATGTGGAGTAGCTGCGGTGGATGATGTCCTTCAGGTCTGCGGCCGGGATCTCAGACGGGGAGATGTATAGGGAGAAGATCTCGAAAGCGAGGTCTGCGAAGGAGAGGTTCTTCCACTTTGACGCCCAGTCGTCGGGCAGCGTAGGGATTTCTTCGGGGATGAAGAGGCCGCCGTCGGAAGCGAGGCCCTTGAGGACGACTTCCTCGAAGGAGAACTATGCCCTGTTAGCAACCGTCTGAGCGCATCCTCGCCGGGTCGCTCTCACGTCATAGGATCCTCCCCGGGTACTCAGGTACCGCTGCGATGCTGTGTGTGAGGACATTATGTGTAATACCAATCAACGATCTAGCGAAATGCAAAGCAAAAAAGTGTAATTGGTGACGGCTGTCGTGTATATCCCAAAGGCGATGTGAAGTAATGGTCCCCGTGGGGAAAAATGTTGTGATGACTCCGGGATCGCAGTTGAGTCAAGGGACCGCGTCTCGCCCTGTCAAATTCCGGATCGCCTGCACGCGTCGACTAGGCCGCTGCATGATTAGCATTGGCGTCGCCGTAGTCTGATTGACGATTGTCTACGAACGGAAAATCACTGCGAAGGCCTTTGTGTTTCATTGAATGCAATTGCGTTCGTCCTGCTGCCCCGCCACACGCACGAGTCCAACCCCGCCATGCGCTGTGCCTGCATCAATGGCGATGTCGGCGCCAACGAATGACACCATCGGCGAAGGCTCAACCTATACGGTGCGTTGCATTTGTAAGGTGATTGATCGCTATTCCGTCAGAGTCAAATCGAATTTCAATGCTTTGCTTGCATGAAGCTCCCGAGGTCGTTTTCTTGAGGTGCACGCATACCTAGGTACTTGTCGCATCACCCATCCGAGGTGACGCCGTCCGACGACAAAAGAATTCAAGGGTGAGTAAAGTGCCGACAGATACACCTCGAAACCTATGTAGTCACCATAACGCTGTTACAATGTGGCTCTGGTGCGGCCTCCATGGCCATTATATGCATGAAACAGCATGATCTCAACCTCCATTCACACCAATTCCTGGACTACTACGCCCATAGAACCTGCCGACATGTGAGATGCCAGATCACTGTTCATACTAGGACATTACATCGCTCGAGCAACTCGGAAAAACAAGCGGAACACGATGGAAATCGCGCGAATAGCAGCGGGCCCCTTCAGCTAGCGACAACAGCGCAGGAAGCTTTGCTCGACCAGACACACGCCGGAAACTGTCGATCGAGTACATCCTCAAACTATCGAGCCGCGACAGATCACTAAGCCCAACGAGCCTCGGACAAAGAATGACGCCTCCTGATTCCACGCACCCGCCACCAGTAGGTATCCCCAACGAACTACCCTCTTATGCCGCGACAACCTATATACCCCTACTCAGCTCAACCGAGCGAGAGGACTACAATAGACCCCCGGAGCAAATATGGCGGCTTCTACTGCACCCAGTCAGGTACAGATCTGAAATAAGCTACGACAGCCTACCAAAACCTGCTCGAACCGGTCAAGTGTGGAGACTACAACGAGATCCTCGCGCAAGCACGGCGACTTGTACGGCACCCAGGCAGCTACAACAGCTTACGAGATGCTCAACGTTCGCGGGCGAGGGGGCTACAGGACCACTTCGGCGCAAGCAAGATGGCTCTTACTCGACCCAGGCAGTTACGACAGCTTACAACACCCCTGCTCGACCCGGTCAAGCGAGGAGACTACAACAAGATCCAGACGCAAGAACGGCGACTTATACTGCACCCAGGCAGCTACAGCAGAACTGGAACAAGGCGCAAAGCTTGATGAGAACTGTCGAAGCAAGAATACTACAAGAGGACTGTGCCGTAAGGACGACGGCTCATATGCAAGCCGGGACACTACAACAATGATCTTTTCCTCAGGCCACCAGCAAGCTGGAAGACCCGATGAAAAGCACCTAAGCGGCATTTAAGCCGACAAAGGAGGAGCAGTTGCTTGTTGGCACGTTCGCTCCAGGAGTTCATGTCAAAGACAATCCCTCTTTACTTCCCGAAGGCGGTTTTGAGTCCGTCACTTCGTTGAAACTGGCTGTAAACCTGTGTTTCCTTGAGCGGTTGGCTTTGTCCCGACTCGTAGTGGCATTGAAGCCGACTCTCAGCGGCATTGAAGCCGACTGGGGTAAAATCTAAGTGGCGCCTTGCGGTACCAGCTGTGTCAGTAGTAAAGGCGGTTGCAAGCCCTATACACCACGCTGGAAGCGAAGGAGGCGTTCAATATGTGTAAAGTAGCCTACATGTTTGCTGCATACATTGGCTTATCATGTCTTGTAGGATTAATCAAAGCAGAGCAGGGGTCACCTCAGCGTACGTTTGGGTTGAAGAACTGTCGGTAAAAATATATCGGATACCTCAAGCCTCTACTTCATTGTAGGCTGCTCAATATGTCTTGGGGCAATTTTCTCTTGTCGCGACTCATCGTTTGCATTCTTTATGCTAATAGTAACACACGAAAAGACTGGATGGCGGGAAGTTCAAGGATGTACCTCTTAGAATAGCCGAAGTGGTGTCAAGATCTCTAGCAAATCTGCTCAGCTGGACGTATACATCGGCTTAATATTTCCCATTCTCTGCGTTCATGATGGAGCCGGTAGCAGTTCAATATGTTTTGTAGGCCATGAACGCAAAGTCAAAGTACTGCGAAGTCTCCGGGCTCCACTATCCGATGAGAGAAAAGTCAACCTGGTTCACGGTCCATGAAGAGGTCCCGTGCATCTTGGAGTGGGGCTAAGAATGAGATCAGATGCGCCAGGCAGTCCATCACGCTGGATATCGGCCAGATCCAGGATAGTCGTTGACGTAAAGACGTCCGGGCTACATGGTGGTTGCTGTGTACATAGAAGTGCGTGATATCCAATGTTTAAATTACGAGACACCTAGGAGGTACACAGTGTGTTCTGTATGAACACTCCGTTAGAGCAAGGCATGATGTATACGTCTGGGGTACAGTTCTATAGCAACAAACGCGTAGAGCTACAAGTTGCTTCTTCGTAATCTCAGAGCCAGTGACGGCACTCGCAGATGGATCAAGGGAACTGCTGCCTCACATATCGTCGGCGAAGCAGACGAATAAAGCCTAATACTCAGTTAATGGTAACTAGTAATGCGAGCACACCGAAGATGCGCTGGTATGAAAGTGCAGCGCGTCTTTGAACATAAAAGACGTCGCCCGCCTGCATACCTAGGTACCTAGGTACCGATGAACAGCACAAGATGAGGAATTTCGTTCTTCCAGAGTTACACAACTCGAGATAAAACCTAAACGTATTCACTACAACGCACTCATAAATGTCTCGACAGATTGAAGTGTTTACCTTTCACGTTGTGTTGCTGCGCTCGGCCAGTCGGCAGCACTCCGGCAGTCTAGTGGGGCCGGCAAAACGTCGGCGGCAGATTCTCGCCTGCCTGGGGCACAGACGTGCGAAAACCTCGCTTTCGGTCTGTGCCGCGCTAGCTCGCGCCAAGCCATCGTGTGCTTAAGTTGAGCGCTGCAGTCGGCCAGGAACTTGCTTCCCTTTCTTCTTTTCTACATGAGATCAGTTTGTCATCCCAAGTCCCCCTACGTTTTCAACTACTAACAGCAGTGCAGTACTTCATAGAATCTTTTCTAATAGTATGCATCCTCTTCTGAGTTACTCTTAGTAGCCACAGAATCTCCAACCTGGTTGATGACTATCAGCTTCGACATCCAAGAGTGAGGCTTTATGACTGCTTCGGCGGTCATGGCGATGATCTCAGCTGACTGGTAGTGTGCTTCGGCCACTCTGGAAAGCAGGATGTTGACAGCAATCTGACAGGCTTTATTTATTTTCATTGATCTTTTCTGGCTTGCCAGTTGGTCGAGGAAGATATCTAACAACTTTCCGCTACAGTTCTCAATATGCTGAGATTGAGTTGCAGTCTCACCATCACAACACCGACCCTGGGAGCTATTCGACGGTGGCAGCAATGCTTGGAAATCTATCAATCTATCGAATCCGGATCGCGCCTTCCGCTTCTCAACACCACCCGTACTTCTCATTTGCGATCCAGTCAATCTTGTCAGCAACCGGTCCGTCGTGTTCTGGAAACCACTGCAAGGCCGCGATGCTCTCTTGATCTCTCACAATGACCTTGACAGCCGGATCCAGCTTCTTTGCAGCTGCCAGCGCCGCTGGCGAAGGCGCCCACATCTCCACGTTCTCCATCTTCCATTTCTGCGCCTCCTGCTGGGCCATCGCCATGAGGGCCGCAATAGCAGCTTCGTGACTGTTGCTCTCAGATCCGCCGTTCATGCTACCCGAAGAGCCCTCAAAGCCATCGTCCTCGATGACCAGCCGTAGGATATGCAGGGTGTTGCCCTTGGCCTCAGCTGGGTTCTCGTTGTACCACATCCTTGTCCAGTAACACCAAACGCGCTTTCCCTTCTCCGTACCGACGACCGCGCCTTTGATCTCTGGCTTCTTGCCATGTAGCTCGTTACCTACGAATTCTTCACGCGCGTGGTGCCACTGGATCGTCTCGATGTTGGGAAGTATTGCGACTGCGGTGTTGCTGTCCTTTGGTCGCGACTCTAGACTTCGGCGGAGGGAGGCTTCGTCGATCTTGCATAGTTCCTCCAGATCGTCCGCGTACAGTGGTCGGGCCGTGGGTAAGTTGCTCGTGTCTTGAGAAGTGCTCGCAGGGATGGAAACATGTGAAGAAGTAAAAGATTCCCAGCCGAATTTCGCGTAGTATTCCTGTCTTTGTTAGCAATACATCGTCATAGAGTGTCAGAGCCACTAACCCTCCCGATGTCAGAGTATAGGATTGAGAACAGAGACTCCTGGCCATCTTCTGTCTGATATGTTCTCAAATTCTTCCCAAGCTCCGTTAGCATCCTGCTAGCATACGAAGTGCCCCCTTTCTTCCCGCGGAGAGGTTTTGGGCAGAATACACTGCCGACCCCATGACAAATGACCTCCTTGATTTCTCCGTTCTGCCACACGAGCGCCTTCTTCCGGATTGTTTCGCAGCTCGCTAGTGGTAGTCGGGTACCTTTTGGTAGTTTGGTGCCTGCATCTGGGTTCCAAGGGTCTTCTGACACAGTTTTGTCAGGGTCAGCTAGGATCCAGTATGAAATGCCGCCATCACGTGTCAGGTTTGTTTGCGAAAGTGTGGCCTCGCGACGAAAATATGCAGGTTTGGAAAGAGCACCGCGCCATTCGTTTGCGTTTGCGTTGAACTGTATCTGCTTTTCGGCTTCGGTAGGGTGAACGAGTTCTAGGTCAGGAGAGTCACCAGCCTTGAGGTTTTCGAGAATGGATGCGATGGCCATGTTGTAGTATTTTATGTAGGGTAGATGTATGTTCGATCTAATAGGTTGGCCTTTGGCGAAGATAGCTAGGGTCTTATATCCAGCTATCGACTACGCTTGTCGTAGGGCGTGACAGGTGTGGATTCGGTCCTGCTCAGCTGCAATCTTCCAGATCAAGTGGCAGTAACGACTCAGGAAAGAGTAAATAGCGGGTCCAAGTTACGTCGATTTCGCTGTAGGATGCGGATAGCTAAGGAAGAAGAGGAAGTTGGTACCTGTAGTTCTTTGTCTAGTCAAGGGCGCCCCGCGTTTTGGTGGCCCCATCCCGCCTTGAGCTCCGTGCGATCTTATAGCTGACTCCGTGTGTCCTCCAGGCATTCCGAGCCTACATCATGTTGCTCGCGGCCCGAGGTGTGCCGTGGCAAAGCGAGGGTTGGATGTCACAGCTTCCCACGGGTCATGTGCGCCTGTCCGATTCGCGAGCAGCTCGAGCCTTGCATGAGGCCAGGCAGTAAGGCGGGAGTTTGCATGTCATGGTCTCAAAAGCTTCGCGCGTCCATTGGCAGCATCACCAAGACCGATGGCAGACATTGCTTCTTCTCAGCCCTGTGCGACGCGCGCGCAGGCTCGTGATGATGCGGTTAGCGGCAGTTGGGCTAGCGGAGCCCTGGGGCCGGCCTGGAGCGAACTGCACGATCATCTGGGCGAGACGCCCATCTCCCGCCCTGAGAGCGGCGCAGCATCCTTTCACGACGACGCGCCATTTCTGTTTCGCTGAGCGCTGGCGGCACTGTAATGGCTTTTCATTGACATGCGCTGTTGTGGCACATAGCTACTGCCTTTGCTCTCTTACCTGGCTGGTGCCCTTGCCCGTTCCGCTGGCTCAGGGCTGGCCGCAATAGCTCCTCGATCTCCCAGCGGCCTGCACCCGCAACACTCAGGTCTCACTCCGCTGCGCTGCAGTGTGAAACCTGTCACTCTCATACTTTCGCTCGTTCCTTTTTCTTCCCTTCAGCTAGTGCATATCAGTCGGTGAGAGGCCTCCTCTGACAACTGGTGGGGTGAGCGACAAGGCTACGTCCGTGTGAATTGAGCTGGTCTGAATCACGTAAACACCACACGCGTTTGCAGTTCCATCGCCCCTCACTCCTTCTCCAGGTTCTCCGCTAGGTACAAATTAATGTTTATTATTTGGTTCCCCCCATTCAAGGTACCCAAGAAACTCTACATCGCTCAGTCTAGACGCACACTCGAAAGCAACCCTTCAAGGTGGAGGTTTACCCGTCAACTAGCCTTACGACTATTACAACAGGACACTTGCGATGGCTCCAACTGGCATTCATCGCGATCATGAAGTGATTGATTTGCTCTCCGATAGTGAGACGGAGGACGAGGGTCTCGCAAGAGACGAATTGGAGGCTTTCGACGCACGATCTGCAGCAGAATTCGCTCTCGACTTCCCGGATCTGGATGACCCTATCGCAGAGTTCCGCGCAGAATTCCAGGCAAATGACCGTCAAGTGATCGATTTGACCGACATTCCAGACATTGACGTTCCGCCGTCTGACGCTGTCGTGGCAGAAGACGACAGACCACCGCCAGAGGGACGAGCTCCTGATTGGGGTGAGGACATCGCATTGGTCACCGAAGCTGCCTGTTTGCAGATGGTTGTGAGCGTGCTGCCGGACATCTCGGTCGATTACGTCCTCAGATTGATCCAAGAAAAGATGACAGACACCACACGAACAAGCGCACAATGCGAGCATTTCCTCACGGAGTTATTGGAAGGCGAGCCATATCCAAAAGAGTCAGACGACGCGAAGAATAAGAAGAGAAAGAGGGATAACGAAGCCGAGGGTGAGTTAAGCACCTACGAGAAGGGCGAGCGTGATCCCGAGATCGGCGGTTATGAACATGACGCGTAAGTACAATCCCTTCACGGACACAGCCCTATGAGCTTTATGGTTCAGTGATTTCTTAAAGTGTCAAGAGTCGAGGTTGATTGGCAGCCATCATTCCAGGTGGATCGTGAAGCGAGCGTTTCATTACACCTGGAACCATGGAACGACTGTCGTGGACATTGCACTTCGCCTATGGGCCAGCGCAACAACAGCAACACCAACAACAATTCTGTAGTCATCCGCTACATTTTCTTACCCACCTTCAACGCCTTCGCGTCGTCTTTATACCTTCCCACCCCTTTCATTCGTGGTACTAACGATACTTTCCACAGAACAGAGCTACTCAAAGACGAATTTCTCACTGTACCCGTGCGGCATATCACGGCCGTTCTCAAACAGCAGAAGACTCTTTACAAGGCCTACGGTGTCATTGAACAACAAGTGCGCAACTACGGACAAATTGCCAGGACATATTCGAAGATAAACAAATCACGCATCAAGCGCGGTATTGAACTCCAGTTGATTGAGCAAGGCAGTCAGATACCCAAGGAGTTGCACGCAGCGAAGAAGAAGAGCGAAGCTGAAGCTGGTAAGTGGGATGTCGTGACCATGACCTTCCAGGAGATCAATACTTCGAACCCTGTGTCTGAGAACAGCGAAGATCGTTTGGTCTCCCTCATCTGCTCCCTACTGACAGATTACAGCCAAACGCCAAAAGGTCAAAGACGAGGAAAAGGCGGAAGAAGACAACTTAAAACGAGCGGAAATGAACAATGAAATGGGTGAATGCGCATGTTGCTTCAACGACGTTCCTCTCAACCGCATGATAAGTTGCAACGGAGACACTACCCACTTCTACTGCGTAGACTGTCCTCGTCAACAGATCGAGACGCAGATGGGTCAATCTCGATGCAGACCCAAGTGTTTCGGAGTCGACGACTGCAATGGAACGTTCACCCGGCGACAGTTGCAACAGGTTCTGAGCGACAAGACGTTCGAGCGACTCGAGCACATGCAACAAAGAGAGGACTTGGAAGCGGCAGGTCTGGACTTCCTCTCGGAGTGCCCTTTCTGCGACTTCAAAATGGAATGTCTACCGGTTGAGGTTGACAAGGAGTTCCGCTGTCAAAACCCCAAATGTAGCAAGACGAGTTGTCGCCTTTGCGAAAAGGAGTCTCACATCCCACTCAGCTGCGAAGAGTTCAAGAAGGATGGTCAAATTACCCTGCGACACATCGTCGAAGAAGCGATGTCGGCAGCCTTGATACGACACTGCAACAAATGTAAACATCCTTTCGTCAAGGAACTTGGCTGCAACAAGATGACATGCACGCACTGCAGGAATGTGCAATGGTAAGTCACCAGCCCAAGAGATTCCGATATCAGCTGACAAAAGCCTAGCTACGTCTGCTCCAAGAACGTGACAGACTATAACCATTTCGGCGAGTCTCGTGCAGGCAAATGTCCACTACACGAAAACGTCGAAGACCGTCACGAACAGGAGGTCAAGCGCGCAGCTGATGAGGCCATGGCCAAGGTCCGAGTCGATAACCCAGGCCTTTCAGATGCAGACTTGATGGTCAAGGTCTCAGATCGAGTCAAGCAAGCAGAAGATGCACGGAAAGGTCGAGCAGGCATAGAAGCGCAAGCCTTCCCTTACCACATGGTTGGAGAGCAGCTCAGGCGAGCCCCCATGGTGCCCCCAGTAGCTGCGCCGCCGGCTCACCTCAATGGAATAGCAGCAAATGTCGCCCCAGCAGATCGGTACGTCCACCCTCATCCAGTCATCCCGGCCATGCCAGCCTTTCCAGCTATGCCAGCCTTTCCAGCCTTTCCAGCCATGCCTGCTATGCCTGCCATGCCTGCCATGCCTACCATGCCTGTGTTTGGATACCCCGTCCAACCATTCCCATTCTATCAACATCTCTATCCTGCTCGGCCCGTTCAGCCCGTTCAGCCTATGGGTTTCTACGGAGCCATTCCACAGCAGCCATATCAGCCATACATTCAACGTCCGATCCCAATGATCGCGCCATGTCCAAGATGTCACTTTTTTCATCCGTCTAACCAATATTGCTAGACCTCGGTTGTTCAATGCCCTCTGGGCCATGCTCCCACCCAACCCCCTCCCGCAATTCGGCATCGGAAGGGGACAAGTCAACGGACCAGGCCAACCAGCCCGCCTTCCCGAAGCCAATAGAGTTGATGATCGGATTAATGAACGGGTTCGCCAGCGCAATGCTCGACCGGAATGGGGCGGCCCTCATCGAATTGCCAACGGCGAACAGGCGCAGCGCGATGCTCGCGAGGCTTTCCGCTTCCTGGACAACGTTGGACTTGGCCAGGATCAGCAGCAGATAGCCGTGCGTCAGAATTTAAGAGCTAGACAGCAGGAGCTTGCAGCAGAGCGCGCGCGGTTGGCTGCAGCGCGACAAACCCTTGATGACGACGCGAGAGCCATGCGTCATAACGTGGCAGCTAGGCGACATGGAATCGAAGCAGAGCGCGCGCGGTTGGGTGTGGGGCAACAGAATCTTGAGGCTCTGCTTGAGGCTCGGCGGGTAGCGGCAGCTGCGATGGTAGCTGATAGGCGACGGCGTCGTGGTATGGCGCCCCAGGCTCCTCACAGATAGCGTGTTTTCGTTTGATGGGATTCATTCTATAGCATAGCATGGAGGTGGCATGGTGATCCAGGTATCTGCCTCTATCGACGTTGAGGCGGGACCATAAAACGCAACTTACTCGCGATAGAAATTCTGAAGGTCTATGTAGTAAGCCGACTTATCTTTGATGTAGAGAATATCTTGAATTCCGTCTTCGTAGCACACCTCGCTTTCACGAAATATAACAGCTTGCATTGACTCTTTACCAGAGGCAGGGAACATTCCATACTCAGTAGAGCATTGTAGTAATCAAATTCGAGTTGTTCAACCATCTACTGTCAAAAACTCGAGAAGCTCGATGGTATACTGTCTTCTGGGCTCTCAAACTTTGCCCTGCCCTCTTCTATCCAGTTCTCAAACCTGAAAACACCGGCCTGCACACTACGTATCGGCGTAACCTTGGCCCCACCCAAATCCCTTCCTTCCTTCTCTCTTATTATCCCCAACTCAAACGCCT